ATGCAGAGAATACATTGAGGAACTATTTAAATGTTGCGCCGAAGAAAATGAGGCGGTAATTTCATGCACTGGCCAGGAGGTATACCATCTTTTTAAGATGTGAAGAAGAACAGAAGTGAAGTGTGGGGGAGTTGCATGAGGCATTTACGTAGAATGAAAGGTTACGCAGCGGATTAGCGGATCAAGACAAGAAATAGTTAAACGCAGGGGGGGATATATTTTGGTGTGGTTGGTATATTTGTTTTTAAAATGTATAGAGGGGGAAGGTACCTAAGATTGTCAGAGGCATGTATAAGTCCCTTTAAATAAAGGAAGGGGGACAAAAAGATTGTAAAAATATAGGAGGAATAAGGTTTTAATACTGAGTATAACCATGAAAAGTGTGTGTTAGGGTTATAATTGAAAGAATTAGAGGTAAGACAGAATGTAGGATTGCGGATGAGCAAGGAGGTTTCAGAGTGGGTAGGAGATGTGTAGATCAAATGTTTACATTGAAGCATATATGTGAACAGTATTGAGATAAAGGTAGGGAAGTTTTTATTGCATTTATGGATTTAGAAAAGGCATCTGATAGAGTGGATAGGGGAGCAATGTGGCAGATTTTGCAAGTAATAAACAGACTGGACGAAATCAGCTCTAATATACATTATTTAGGTATGCATACTGGTCAGAGTCGTTGGTAAATGAGCACAGTGGACCCTCGACCAGTGATGTTAATCCGTTCCTGAGGGCTCATCGTTAGTCAAAATTATCGTTAGTAGAGTTAATTTTCCCCATAAGAAATACTGGAAATAAAATTAATCCGTGCAAGACACTCAAAAGTATGAAAAAAAAATTTTACCACATGAAATATTAAGTTTAATGCAATAGAATAATTACAATAACAACAATAACAATAGAATAATTGACACTTACCTTATAATGAATATCTGTGATGATTGAATCGGATGGAGGAGGGGGAGAGTGTGGGATGGTGTTAGTGACTTAGAAGGTAATCCCCTTCCATTAGACTTGAGGTGTCAAAGTCCCTTGAGGACATTGTTTTTCCTGACACTCTGGGAGTATCAAGTGATACACCAATAAAGGCTCACTTTCAATCACACCACTAGCATTACATACATCAACAGAGTAAGCCTGTCTTTCATAGGCTTATTCCGGGAGTGCCTTTCCTCCTGAGGAAGTAGCCTGCTATGCAATTTTCTTCCAAAACAGGCCTGTTTTCGTAACACTGAAACACTCCGGATGATTAGGTTTTCACATATGATCGCTTGAAGATGCTATCTCCTGCTATCTGATTTCGTTTATCCACACCAATAACAGTCTCTCAACATCCTTTCAATCACTTGTGATCTCAGTTTCGAAAACATTAGTTGCACCTTTGGCAAAAACAGCTTCCTGATTGCTGTTTTCTCATGTCCCCCCACAATAGTAGCGATGGTTGATTGGGTTTTGTGTACAACCTGGCCAGCCCGACACACGCACTCCACTTTCCAAACTTACCAATGATCTCTTCTTCATATCCATATAATCCTCACCCTTATGCTTGTAGGGTTTTGGCACTAGAAGCTTTCCTGTACCCGTGGTCCACTGACCTTTGCAGGTGAAAATCACTAAAACGTTGTAATAATACAAAATGTACCGATTGTATGCTTTGGATTTTACCGCGGAGGCTGGCTTGTAAACAATGCCAACCGCCGGAAACATGTGAGGCTGGCTCGAGCCGCACATAGACGCGTCTTGGACGAATTGCGTTGAGCGAAATTCTTAGCGCATGCGAGGAAAAATTTTTTAGTTTAAAATGTAACCTAGGCGATTTAACATTGTGATCCCAATTTAGGCGGGGCCCACTGTATTTTCAAAATGCAACATTGCATATGGGTATTTTGCAAAAACATTTTACAACGCAACCCTTGCAGGTTCCAAAAAACAAGCTCAAGTATGGGTTTAAAAATAATGTAAGGGAAGTTTAAAAAAAGTATTCAAATTTATAACTGAAAAAATAGTGATACAACTTTAAACAGAATCCGTAGTAAGCAAAGTTTTGTAAGGCATGTACTACCATCCTAGTACTTAACCAAAAAAAAATATTTTTAGAGTTAAAGACTTTCAAATTTTAAACCCGCATAAATAATTTTAAATTTGAACATCAGTGCTTGAGTTGTTTTAGTAAGAAAAGGCAAGCGGGGTTTATACTTTTGCGTTGGGTGGAGTAAGGTAACATTTAGAAAGGGTTCAGGGAAAACAGGGTTCCAGATTTGAGCCCTGAAGGGGTAATACATGCCTCACTCTGAAGGAAGGGATGGGATATTTTTAGTTTTAAAGGGGGTAATGTGGGAAAAGTGTTTCTTCTTTTTTTGGGTCACCCGCCTTTTTGGGAGACAGGGTTTTTTGAAAAAAAAAAAAAAGGTAAAAGTTTCAAGAGAAAACCAGACCACTACCTGCTCAGTGCCTATTCAGTCAGGTTGTGATGGCTCTGTAGGTATATTTGTCTTCTAGTGGCAACAGCTTGGTTGATCAGGCTGTCGACCAAAAATACTGGTCTTAGGTTGTTCAAGGGTAGAACTCATAAAACTGAACTTGGGTATAAGTGTAATATACATTTTTTCCATGAAAAACAAAGAAAAATCTTGAGAACTACTGCACTGTAGTTTGTTGCCGTTAGGTTGAAGAGTTATAATAATAATGGAAGACTTACTGACAATATATTAGGTAAAAGGACACGTGCAATTAATGTGACATTTTACTGCAGCAATGTTTCGCTATTCAAGAGCTGTGTCATCAAGCCAATACATAGGGTACCTATAGGTAACAAGACTCACAAAATTTAAACATCACAATTGCAAACAATTCACAGAACGAGCGTGGCTTAACCCCATGGCAATGGGATTAAGCCCCCACCTGTTCTGTTACTTGTTTACAATTGTGTTATTATGATTGTCAGTAGTACATATACTTGTGTAGTATGTATACTAGTGTACCAGCTGTGTACACCCACAACCTGGCTGGCTTGCCTAAGGCAGGCTACCCTCACACACACAGGACATCTCACACTACCACTCGTAAATCCAGAAATCTTGCAGGATTTCTCTCACCACTGAGTCATGATGGTGGGTTTGAAGGGCCTTGAACTAGAGCAAACCACAGCCACGCTGACATGGAATTCGCCTTTAAAAACTTGCATTTGTGCTCACTGTGTGGCCCATGCTAACCTTCCTATGGTGTGCCTCCAGGCTTTGTGTTTGTTTCACTGACATATACCTTGTCACAGCTTCTACAAGGGATTGTGTAAACACCTGCATTGACTGGTTCAAGGTTCTTCACTTCAGTCCCAATCAGGTCTTTGATGGATGTATTGGTTGCAATGGTGACTCAAATATTGGCTTGTGCAAGTACTTTGGAGACATTCAAAGCAAACTGGCTGTTGTTTAAAGTAGTGTTAATGTGTGGAAAATTAATGATTGGAAGGGTTTTTTTTTTTACAGTGCTTGATGAAAAAGGAAGGAAAATGTAGCTCGGTGATAGTTTGGTGTATGCATGCGCATTCCTCATCAAGAAACTCAGGACCACAAATTCATTATGCTCTTGAGGACATGAAACAGCTCATTCATTTATCAGAGCTACCCCAGAAAGTGCACAGAAGTCTGTAATTTGGCAAATTTTACACAAAATTAAAATTCCAATTTAGAAAGAGTTCAAAATTAAAACTAGACATTCTAGCTACTGAAACATTTCCTTTATTCATTAACACATCCCCAAGCCTCTTCTTTATTATACTTGACCTCCATTATGAATTCATCACAAAAAAAAAAAACAAGGATTTACCCTATTTCTTGGATTAATAAAATATAACAGGAATGACTGATCATGGTTTAGGGCATCCAAATATTGAAGCAGACCTAGTAAAAGAAAAATAGTAATAAAGTTGGTAGAATTACCAACAATATGTAAAGTAAAAGGGCACAAGTGCAACTTATGTGACATTTATTGTGGCAACGTTTCGCTCTCCAGGAGCTTTATCAAGCCATTACAAACAATACATGGACACAGAGGGTATATATAGGCTCAGAGTGAGGTGCAATATTAGTGGTAGTAGTAGTAGTGACAAAAGTTGTAGTAGTAGTAATACAATATGGTAGAGCAATTAATTCGCACGTGAGTAAAAGGATATAAAAGCTATTACTTGGGTAATTAATATATTTGTCCAACCTGTTTTTATGTTACCCAAGTAATAGCTTTTATATCCTTTTACTCACATGCGAATTAATTGCTCTACTACTACTACTACTACTACTACTGCTACTACTACTGCTACTACTACTACTACTACTACTGCTACTACTACTGCTACTACTACTGCTACTACTACTGCTACTACTACTGCTGCTACTACTGCTGCCGCTGCCGCCGCCGCCGCCGCCGCCGCCGCCGCCGCTGCCGCCGCTGCTGCCGCTGCCGCTGCCGCTGCCGCTGCTGCTGCTGCTGCTGCTACTACTACTACTACTACTACTACTACTACTACTACTACTACTACTACTACTACTACTACAATAAATGTCACATCAGTTGCACTTGTGCCCTTTTACTTTACAAAAGAAAAATAGACTGCAAGGGGGCTTTACTGATCCTCAAGAAATTTATCAAAAATTTATTTTTTCATGTTACTTCTGGTCCTGGAATCAGGTGTTTCAGTTTAGCAACTGATACCAAGAAACAGCCAGGAAAACCATAAAAACCATCCAAGAAAACACTTAAGAGTCGCCATTCTAAACAAAACCCAAAGTCAGAGGTTTGCTTTTTCCATCGTGCATTGCGCAGACCCAGTCTCTCGTGTCTAGGCTAAATATCACATGTGACATATTTGAGAGTGCTGTGCTGTGTGTGTGACACTGGTACTAATATCGTAGGTCTACATGTGAATGAAAGAGTTTAGTGATGATCTTCGTTTGACTTATTCTATTTACATTTTTTAAATCTTTAGGTTTCTTTTCTTTTATAAAAACTTGTTTCCTTTTCTCTGCTATTTCCAGAACAAGGTCAGAAAAGGATGAGCCTTAATCACCAGCCTGAGAATCAGCCACTGGCTAAAAAACCCATGACATTTGTTAAATCATCATCAGCGAGTGAAGAAATTCAATGTGAAAAGCTTGATGCTAGACCCTCTAATTCAAGCACAAATAAATCTGCTTCACAGTTCCTGTATGGTGTAAATAAAAGACTGTCACCTGAAAGACAGCCAGTTGAAAACAACACTTCAGAAAGACAGTCAACTGTAGATAAATACAAAAATGCTCTTAAGCAAAACAGCAAAATAGTTGCAAGTGCCTCCATTTCTAATAATAATGTTATTCAGTCTGGTAGAGGCATTGGTGTTATGAATGGTCGAACAGCAAGAGGAAGCATGAACACACACAACAATTCAACTTATATGTAAGTAACAACTTTTTAGTTGCTTTTATGCATATGTCTGTATGACCCTGGTGGGTTTAGTGCTTAGTTTTGATTATACTAATTTATGCATTTTTGTCTCTTCATAACCATGGCATCCTTATAAGATCCAGGAGACCAACTGCAGTACACGTTAAACTTTTCATGTATGGTAGTCTGTCACTTGAGGTGCAATCTGTTAGTTAGTATTTTTTTTTTATTATCACACTGGCCGATTCCCACCAAGGCAGGGTGGCCCGAAAAAGAAAAACTTTCACCATCATTCACTCCATCACTGTCTTGCCAGAAGGGTGCTTTACACTACAGTTTTTAAACTGGAACATTAACACCCCTCCTTCAGAGTGCAGGCACTGTACTTCCCATCTCCAGGACTCAAGTCCGGCCTGCCGGTTTCCCTGAACCCCTTCATAAATGTTACTTTGCTCACACTCCAACAGCACGTCAAGTATTAAAAACCATTTGTCTCCATTCACTCCTATCAAACACGCTCACGCATGCCCGCTGGAAGTCCAAGCCCCTCGCACACAAAACCTCCTTTACCCCCACCCTCCAACCTTTCCTAGGCCGACCCCTACCCCACCTTCCTTCCACTACAGACTAATACACTCTTGAAGTTATTTCTGTTTCGCTCCATTCTCTCCACATGTCCGAACCACCTCAACAACCCTTCCTCAGCCCTCTGGACAACAGTTTTGGTAATCCCGCACCTCCTCCTAACTTCCAAACTACGAATTCTCTGCATTATATTCACACCACACATTGCTCTCAGACATGACATCTCCACTGCCTCCAGCCTTCTCCTCGCTGCAACATTCATCACCCATGCTTCACACCCATATAAGAGCGTTGGTAAAACTATACTCTCATACATTCCCCTCTTTGCCTCCAAGGACAAAGTTCTTTGTCTCCACAGACTCCGAAGAGCACCACTCACCCTTTTCCCCTCATCAATTCTATGATTCACCTCATCTTTCATAGACCCATCCGCTGACACGTCCACTCCCAAATATCTGAATACATTCACCTCCTCCATACTCTCTCCCTCCAATCTGATATCCAATCTTTCATCACCTAATCTTTTTGTTATCCTCATAACCTTACTCTTTCCTGTATTCACTTTCAATTTTCTTCTTTTGCACACCCTACCAAATTCATCCACCAATCTCTGCAACTTCTCTTCAGAATCTCCCAAGAGCACAATGTCATCAGCAAAGAGCAACTGTGACAACTCCCACTTTATGTGTGATTCTTTATCTTTTAACTCCACGCCTCTTGCCTAGACCCTCGCATTTACTTCTCTTACAACCCCATCTATAAATATATTAAACAACCACGGTGACATCACACATCCTTGTCTAAGGCCTACTTTTACTGGGAAATAATTTCCCTCTTTCCTACGTACTCTAACTTGAGCCTCACTATCCTCGTAAAAACTCTTCACTGCTTTCAGTAACCTACCTCCTACACCATACACCTGCAACATCTGCCACATTGCCCCCTATCCACCCTGTCATACGCCTTTTCCAAATACATAAATGCCACAAAGACCTCTTTAGCCTTATCTAAATACTGTTCACTTATATGTTTCACTGTAAACACCTGGTCCACACACCCCCTACCTTTCCTAAAGCCTCCTTGTTCATCTGCTATCCTATTCTCCGTCTTACTCTTAATTCTTTCAATAATAACTCTACCATACACTTTGCCAGGTATACTCAACAGACTTATCCCCCTATAATTTTTGCACTCTCTTTTATCCCCTTTGCCTTTATACAAAGGAACTATGCATGCTCTCTGCCAATCCCTAGGTACCTTACCCTCTTCCATACATTTATTAAATAATTGCACCAACCACTCCAAACTATATCCCCACCTGCTTTTAACATTTCTATCTTTATCCCATCAATCCCGGCTGCCTTACCCCCTTTCATTTTACCACTGCCTCACGAACTTCCCCCACACTCACAACTGGCTCTTCCTCACTCTTACAAGATGTTATTCCTCCTTGCCCTATACACGAAATCACAGCTTCCCTATCTTCATCAACATTTAACAATTCCTCAAAATATTCCCTCCATCTTCCCAATACCTCTAACTCTCCATTTAATAACTCTCCTCTCCTATTTTTAACTGACAAATCCATTTGTTCTCTAGGCTTCCTTAACTTGTTAATCTCACTCCAAAACTTTTTCTTATTTTCAACAAAATTTGTTGATAACATCTCACCCACTCTCTCATTTGCTCTCTTTTTACATTGCTTCACCACTCTCTTAATCTCTCTCTTTTTCTCCATATACTCTTCCCTCCTTGCATCACCTCTACTTTGTAAAAACTTCTCATATGCTAACTTTTTCTCCCTTACTACTCTCTTCACATCATCATTCCACCAATCGCTCCTCTTCCCTCCCGCACCCACTTTCCTGTAACCACAAACTTCTGCTGAACACTCTCACACTACATTTTTAAACCTACCCCATACCTCTTCGACCCCATTGCCTATGCTCTCATTAGCCCATCTATCCTCCAATAGCTGTTTATATCTTACCCTAACTGCCTCCTCTTTTAGTTTATAAACCTTCACCTCTCTCTTCCCTGATGCTTCTATTCTCCTTGTATCCCATCTACCTTTTACTCTCAGTGTAGCTACAACTAGAAAGTGATCTGATATATCTGTGGCCCCTCTATAAACATGTACATCCTGAAGTCTACTCAACAGTCTTTTATCTACCAATACATAATCCAACAAACTACTTTCATTTTGCCCTACATCATATCTTGTATACTTATTTATCCTCTTTTTCTTAAAATATGTATTACCTATAACTAAACCCCTTTCTATACAAAGTTCAATCAAAGGGCTCCCATTATCATTTACACCTGGCACCCCAAACTTACCTACCACACCCTCTCTAAAAGTTTCTCCTACTTTTGCATTCAGGTTTCCCCTCCCACAATTACTCTCTCATTTGGGTTCAAAGGCTCCTATACATTCACTTAACATCTCCCAAATCTCTCTCTCCCCTCTGCATTCCTCTCTTCTCCAGGTGCCATACACGCTTATTATGCCCCACTTTCGCATCCAACCTTTACTTTAATCCACATAAATCTTGAATTTACACATTCATATTCTTTTGTCCTTCCATAAACTGATCATTAACATTACTGCTACCCCTTCCTTTGCTCTAACTCTTCAGATACTCCAGATTTAACCCCATTTTTCCCCCCCCGAAACTCCCTACCCCCTTCAGCTTTGTTTCGCTTAGGGCCGGGGACTCCAACTTCTTTTCATTCATAACATCAGCAATCATCTGTTTCTTGTCATCCCCCATACATCACGCACATTTAAGCACCCCATTTTATAAAGTTTTCTTTTCTCTTTTTTAGTAAATGTCTACAGGAGAAGGGGTTACTAGCCCATTGCTCCCGGCATTTTTAGTCGCCTCATTCGACACGAAATGGCTTACGGAGGAAAGATTCTTTTCTACTTCCCCATGGAAAATTTAGAAGAAATAAAGAGAACAAGAGCTTTTTAGAAAAAGGAGAAAAACCTAGATGTATGTATATATATATATGCATGTGCGTGTCTGTGAAGTGTGACCAAAGTGTAAGTAGGAGTAGCAAGATATCCCTGTTATCTAGCGTGTTTATGAGACAGAAAAAGAAACCAGCAATCCTACCATCATGCAAAACAGTTACAGGTTTCTGTTTCACAGTCATCTGGCAGGACCGGTAGTACTTCCCTGGGTGGTTGCTGTCTACCAACCTACTACAATGTACCTATAGTTAGTATGTCTTTGCTATATGATGGTTGAAAAATTGCAACATTTTTGACTCCCTTTGCATTGATCGTTTAGTATGGAGTAAATTTAGGGAAAAATAGCTAAAAGGCAGTACAGGAAGGGTAGCAACCAGTGATCTCACTATAATTAGGCATTTCTGTACCTTTAACAGTCATATGCATACCCTAGGTTTATTTATACAGATATTGAATAACTTGGTTATTGATTATAGTGTGAAAAATAATTAAATGAGAAAGTATAGAGATGATCTTGCAGCATCACCATCATCAGTGTTTGTGTTTGGTTTGCATAGTGCCATCACAGTATAGGTCATTTATATGTAATTTGTTTGTTTTCACATCTTTTGCATCATCGGTGATAAAATGTGAAGATACTGAGTGTTATATACAAATTAGGACTCTAAGGTTCATATATCCTTTGCTTCCTTCCCTATACTTGATCAGGGTTTTAATGAGGAAAAAACTATATATAATGTGGATAGAGTACCAAGGGCATATACAATATGCATCAGATTGATTGTTAAACTAATAATTTGTAATAAATAAATGGCCTGCATATTGGGGGTTGATAGCTTCTGCTCCTGTCTGAGAGAGAGATTTCCACTACTATTTATATAACCTCTGCTTCTTTTTATTTGTATAATAAAGATTAAAAATAGAGAAAAACCTGGATAAAATGTGTATACAGTACAGTACCTACTTCATATATAATGTGCACTAGGATGTGTGAAGGTGTTGGCATTGTGTTTACATCTGCTCATTCCTCTCCACCATCTCTGTTCCTTACTGCTGTTCCTTAATTTGAAAATGTGAAGGGAAATGATACTGCATTTTATTTTTTATTAAAATGAAACTATTAATATAAATTGGTTATATTTACAAAGCTATTCTTGTAGTCAATTCACAGTAGTGGGATGGACAAACAGACCTTTGGCCCATCACAATAATTAACCTTTTGACTGTTGCAAGCCCCTTTCTGAAACTGTCATTCTATGTCGGAAAATTTTTGGAAAAAAAAGGAAATTATTTTTCTTATGAAATGATAGAGAATCTTTTCCCGATGGTAATGATACCAAAAACTCACGGAATTACGTTCCTGTGAAGTTAGCGATCTCGACGACATATACTCATCGGCGATTTCGCCAACTTTGAGCCCTGTTTTGGGCCAATTCCGTTGTTCCAG